TTGGCAATGGTTTGGTCAATGATATCGATGCAGAGAATGACCAGGAAATACCTGGTCCCTGAAGGGTGTGGGGATGATGGTGTATAATATCACAAGCCTTGTTGGGAAGATTCTTGTCTAAGTATTTCTTGTTTCATGGTCTGGATTCTAGGATTGTATGAATGCCTACTCATGCCTTGGATTAATGTTTCCTGGTTTTCTGAATTATATTGGAGAAGTGTGGGGTTTGTTTTTATGGACTTTGCTGAACTTTACACTGGACTATTTTTGCTCCTGCTTATCTTCTTACCTAATTAGATTTACCTATTTCTTAAAAGTGCTGTTTACTTGCTGCTTTTTAATTATCTTCAATAAAAGGATTGTTTTCCAATCAACAGTGTGGTGTTTACAGCCAGAGGACTTTTCCTGTCCTGGAGTGCAACAGCACCCCTGACAGATGGCCATCCAGCCATTATTGAAAAGCCTCCAAGAAAGAAGCGTCCACCACGCTCCAAGGCAGAGAGTTCCACTGCTGAACAGCTCTTCTTACAGTCAGGAAGTTCTTCCTAATGTTCAGGTGGAATCTCCTTTCCTAATTTGAACTCATGGCTCTGAGTCCTAGTCTCCAGGGCAGCAGAAAACAAGCCTTGCTCCTTCTCCCTTATGGTATCCTTTCACATTTATACATGGCTCTTCTCATATCTCCTCCCTAACCCACACCTTGACCCCTGCATACAGAAAACAACATAAAACAAACACAATAAAGGGGAGGTTATTCGTAGCCTGCAGATGGAACAAACACAAAATCTTCCCATCTCATGCAGAAGCTGTGGCATGTTCAGATTCTTCACGCCACAATTACTCAATTACATCTGCCCCAAGTGTAAACAAATCATTTATATGGAAGAGACGATCCAACAACTCGAGGACCGTATTAAGATCCTTAAGGACATTCAGGAACCCGAATTGTTCTTGGACACCACACAGCACACTGTCCTAGACACGCAACCCACATCACACCAACATTATGGGGAGGCTCATGAGGAGATCACTTCAGATGTGGACAACTCTCAGGCTTGGAGGAATGTCACCCTTAGAAAGAGACATAGGACCAGGAAGCTTCAAACTACAGGAAAGGATGAGTTGTTGTTGGTTTTTCGGGCTATATGAACATGATCTAGAGGCATTTTCTCCCGACGTTTCACGTGCATCTATGGCAAGCATCCTCAGAGGCTATTATTATTATTATTATTATTATTATTATTATTATTATTATTAACTTTATTTATACCCCGCAAAATCTCCCGAAGGACTTGATGCGGCTTACAATGGCCAAGGCCGCAACAAACAACAACATACAGATATAACAGTAAAACTCATAAGCAAATAATAAAAATCAAGCAAAGACAATAAAACACTAAAAACAATGACACCATGACGCATTTAAAAACCTAAGGGCCGGGCCAAATGTAATGGACAAAAATTTAAAAGTGCTGAACTTGACAGGAGGTATGTAGTGGTTTTTTGGAGGTAGGTGCAATGTGCAGACAATCCTGGTCTCTAACAAAGTGCATTAGGGACATGATGCCAGGAAGTTTCCTAATCTGGAAAGGCACACTGGAACAGCCAGGTCTTCAGGCTCTTCCTAAAGATTGCCAACGTTGGGGCTTGTCTGATGTCCTTGGGGAGAGAGTTCCAGAGTTGGGGGGCCACCACAAAGAAGGCCCTGTCCCTCGTCCCCACCAAACACGCTTGTGACTCAGGTGAGATCATGAGCAGGGCCTCTCCAGATGATCGGAGGGAATGCGTGGGCTTGTAGACGGAGATGCGGTCACGCAGGTAAGCGGGTCCCAAACCGTTTAGGGCTTTGTAGGTGAGTACCTGCACCTTGAATTGGGACCGGGAGATGAATGGCAGCCAATGGAGCTCCTTAAACAGAAGGGTTGACCTCTCTCTGTAAGGAGCGCCAGTTAATAGCCTGGCTGCCGACCGTTGGACCAGTTGGAATATCTGAGCCGTTTTCAAGGGCAGCCCCACGTAGAGCGCAATACAGTAGTCCAATCTAGAGGTGACCAAGGCATGGACCACCCCAGCCAGATCAGCTTTTACAAGAAAGGAGATTCCATCTGAACATTAGGAAGAACTTCCTGACTGTTAGAGCCGTTCACCAGTGGAACTCTCTGCCCAGGAGTGTGATAGAGGATCTTTCTTTGGAAACTTTTAAACAGAGGCTGGATGGTCATCTGTTGGGGGTGTGTGTGCTTTGAATGCATTTTCCTGCTTCTTCTCAGAAAGGGGTTGGACTGGATGGCCCATGAGGTCTCTTCCAACTCTAGACCACACCTGGAATATTGTGTCCAATTCTGGGCACCACAATTCAAGAGAGATATTGACAAGCTGGAATGTGTCCAGAGGAGGGCGACTAAAATGATCAAGGGTCTGGAGAACAAGCCTATGAGGAGCGGCTTAAGGAGCTGGGCATGTTTAGCCTGAAGAAGAGAAGGCTGAGAGGAGATATGATAGCCATGTATAAATATGTGAGAGGAAGCCACAGGGAGGAGGAGGGAGCAAGCTTGTTTTCTGCTTCCCTGGAGACTAGGATGCAATGGAACAATGGCTTCAAACTACAAGAGAGGAGGTTCCATCTGAACATGAGGAAGAACTTCCTGACTGTGAGAGCCGTTCAGCAGTGGAACTCTCTGCCCCGGAGTGTGGTGGAGGCTCCTTCTTTGGAAGCTTTTAAACAGAGGCTGGCCATCTGTCAGGGGTGATTTGAATGAAATATTCCTGCTTCTTGGCAGGGGGTTGGACGGGATGATGGCCCAGGAGGTCTCTTCCAACTCTTGGATTCTATGATTCTATGATTTCACCTTCTCTTCTGAGGTTAAACATCTCCAGCTCTTTAAGACGATCCTCATAGGGATGCTTGCCCATGTCTGATGTAGACTCCACTCCTGTTGATGCAGCCTAAGAATTGCACTGGAAGGAGGATGGGGAGAACCTGGCAAGGACATCCATCTCCTGAACCATCTTCCATCTGCACATTCTAGCCTGGATTAAGACCATTCCAATATTGAGTCAACCCTGAAGTTTTCTCAGCAAGATTTCTTTCAAGGAGGTTTTCCTTTGCCTTAGGTTGTCGCCCTTTCTACACTGCCATATAAAATCCAGATTATCTGGTCTGAACTGGATTATATGGCAGTGTAGACTCACATAGTGCAGTTCAAAGCATGTCATGTGGATTATCCGCTTTGATAATTTGAATTTTATGGCAGGGTAGAAAGGGTCTGAGAAGATGCTTCTTCTCCAAGGTCACCTTTTGAGTTTTTGCTTTTTCAAGGAATTCAAACCCAGCCCAAACCCCAAACCATTACCCCAGGTTTGCTCTAAAAGTCTCCTCAGGGGAGGTGTTGCATTGCCATGGTAGAGTTTGCAAGGCCTTTAGCCTTCACTGCCAAATAAGGCCATTGCCTCCCCAAATTGCAACTCCCAGCATTCCATAGCAGCTAAAGGGGACTCACGCTGCACTAATTAGAGAGTGTAGATGCACCCCTATTGTCTTCCCAACCCCGCTTTATGCCTGCGAGACGTGGACTGTCTACAGACGTCACATGCAACTCCTGGAACGATTCTATCAGTGCTGCCTCTGGAAAATCCTTCAAATCTCTTGGGAAGACAAGTGCACAAATGTCAGCGTGCTAGAAGAAGCAAAGACCACCAACATCGAAGCAATGGTCCTCCGCCATCAACTCCGCCGGACCGGCCACGTTTTCTGGATGCCCGACCACCGTCTCCCAAAGCATTTGCTCTATTCCGAATTCCAGAACGGAAAATGGAATGTTGGAGGACAGGAAAGGACATTTAAAGATAAGCTCAAAGCCAACCTTAAAAACTCTGGCATAGACACTGAGAACTGGGAAGCCCTGGCACTTGAGCGCTCCAGCTGGAGGTCAGCTGTGACCAGCAGTGCTGCAGAATTTGAAGAGGCACAAATGGATGGTGAAAAAGAGGAAGGTGTTCTGGTACAGCTGTACCAGGAGCTCCCGTTTTATTTGCTTTGTTTTAAATGTTTGCTTGCAGTCCAAGGTTCCTGGGATTCTGCAGATAGGTGGCTTCCTTTGGTTGCAGTCATAGGGCAAGTCACCTGTCCACCATCATTAAGTTTTGGTTCCGCCCCTTGCTCAGGGCAATTGGAAAAGGAAGGGAGCCATTTTTTAGTTAGTCTCAGCAAGGAAAGCTAATGTACGGGACGTGTGCAAGCTTCCCCTGTATAAAAGCTTCAACCCTTAAGACCTTCCGGGGGGAAACAGTCTTAAGAGTCTTCAGTAGATTTCCAGGGAAACAGCCCCAAAGACCAAAGAACTCCAGCTGGAGAATATCTAAGCCTTTACTGGTAGGTCCACTCGGTGCTTTGAGACGCAGTTCGACCCGGTAGCAGAGCCCACATCAGTAAGGGTCAGATTACAGTCAGCCTGGGAGAAGTTAAAAAGGGGACTTTCCTTTAAAGTAAAGAAGAAGTTATTGAAGACAGTTGCCTATCCTTCGTGGGCAAGATTAGGAAGTCACCAGTTGCAATAAAGCCTGGAAGCATTTGTTTAGCTTTATTGAAGACAAGAGAAGTTTCTGTTTGATTGTTCATTAATAAAAGACTTTGTTATACTTCACAAGCCATCTAAAGATCATTTGTGGTGGAAAACCTCTGAGAACTTCTCTTTGGGGCCCCTGGCTTCCCGTTGGGCAAAGGTTGCAAGTCCTGTTCTAAAGGAAATTCTTTACAGGCCCAGCACACAACAGAACAGAAGGCATGTCAAGACAACCCTGTCCGGGACCACCTTCCACCTGGAAACCAATGCCCTCACTGTGGGAAAAGATGCAGGTCAAGAATAGGGCTCCACAGTCACCTACGGACCCACCGCCAGGACACCAAACTTGGAGGACCATCACCCTCGGACTATGAGGGATCGCCTAAGTAAGTAAGTATGCACCCCAAGACTCCCATCCCAATCCAGACCCCAACTTACACCACGGCGCGGAGGAAGCACCCTTCTTCGGCATGTTGATCGCGATAGGAGCGGACAATCTTGGCCGGGATGGGGATAGGGCTGGTCCGCACACAGCAGTCCATCGCTTGGCGGCCCTCCGAGACTGGAGGAGAAGTAAACAAAAGGAGAAAAGCCATCATGAGGAAGGAGAAGAAGAAGCTGCCAGGGTTACCCCTTCTTGGGCTAGATGGGAAACCTTGGCTATAAAGGCAGGGAGAAGAAGGTGTCTTTCAGCAGAAGCCTTGTGCCTTCTCCGCAGGAAGAATGGAAGGCTGGGAAAGGTAGGAGATAGTCTCCAAGGTGGGTACCAGGAACTCTTCCTCCATCCATCCCTCCCTCCATCCAGAGGCGGCCCTAGGTTATTTTCCATGGTAAGCAAACAGTATTTTGGCGCATCCCCCCCCCCAACCAATCATTGATATATATTTTCTGTTTGCCGTGGGAGTTCTGTGTGCCATATTTGGTTCAATTCCATCATTGGTGGAGTTCAGAATGCTCTTTGATTGTAGGTGAACTATACATCCCAGTAACTACACTTGCCGCACTTGCTCCCTTGCCTTGGGTCCGGAGGCGTGCCTGAAGACACCGGTGTGTGCACCAAAAGTCACCTCTTCTCCTGACTTTCTCCTCAGCCATTGGGACCAAGAGAGAGAGAGAGACACACACACAGAGAGAGAGAACAACACAAAAAAAAACAAACACAAAACCCAACAAACCAACGAAACTCAAGAGGTATAAATACAACACCAAACAAGTACAACAAAAACAAACATAAAGCAACAATACCACAACTTGTCGACACTATCCATAGAACACAATAAAAATGCTCCTTAGCCAGTGGGACCACCAAGACCAAGAGAGAGAGAGAGAGAGGGTGGAGATGCCTACCTTTCCTGAAGGTAGGCGCAAAAAAAAGGAGGGAGCGGAGGTGGGAGATACCTCCAGTCGGAGGGGCTCTCTCTCTCTCTCTCTCTTGGTCCCAATGGCTGAAGAGAAAGTCAGGAGAAGAGGCGACTTTTGGTGCGCACGCTGGGGTCTTCAGACATGCCTCCGGACCCGAAAAGGGCCAGGTGTGGCGGCTCCGCCCCTTGGCCCACCCACGGATTGGGGAGAGGAGAGGAGGCGGGTGGAGTGCCGGGGGATCAGGAAAGGGAGCCGGTCATGGGGAAGGGATCGAACGCGGAGAACAATTGAGTGCCGGCTCTGCTCGCGCACCCGGTGGCCGGGTGGAGCAGGAACGAGAGGGGCTAGGCGAGGCTCAAGGGCCCAGCCCCTTTGGGAAGAGGATTGCCCGGTAGCGAGGCAAGAAAGCCGAGGCTCCCCCCGGACTGCTAGGGCTGTTGTGAGCTGAGGGGGCGCTCCACAAGTGGCGGTCGAGGGGCATTTACAGAGGCGCCTCTGCACCCCTGGCAAAAAAAAGTGTTTTGCGACCGCTTACTTCGCGTAATGGATGAGCCGCCCCTGCCTCCATCCTTTCCTTTCCCTTCCTCTCCCATTCCTCCCTCTCTTTCTCTCATTTTGTGCCCCTTTCAACCACATATTGGAATGGAAGGTCCTAGAATTTCATAGAATCACAGAATTCAAAGAGACTACCAGGGGACATCTAGTCCACCCCCTTCTGCAAGCCAAGGAGACACAACCCAAGCCTTCCCGAAAGATGATCATCCAGCGGCCAGAGTAAGGCCCATTCTACACTGTCATATCCAGATTATATAATTCAAAACAGATGATGTACATGATCTGCTTTGAACTGGATAATATGAGTCTACACTGCCATATAATCCAGTTCAAAGCAGAGAACCTGGATTTTATATGGCAGTGTAGATAAGGCCTGAGGCTGGATCTACACTGTCACATAATCCAGATTATCAAAGCAATTAATCCAGGTTATCTGGATTATATAACAGAATCCTAGAATTGAAAAGGACCCCAAGAGGCCATCCAGTCCAATCATTTTCTGCCAGGCAGGAAGACACAATCCAAACCCTCCCGACAGATACCCATCCTGCCTCTGTTTAAAATCCTCAAGCGATGGAGACTCAGTTGGACTCCCAGGCGGTTGATACTCCATTAGAGTTGGAAAGGAACCCCAAGGCCATCTAGTCCAACCCTCTTCTGCCTTGAAGGAAGACACAATCAAAGCCCTCCCGACAGATGCCCATCCAGCCTCTGTTTAAAATCCTCCAGCAATGGAGACTCCATTGGACTCCCAGGCAGTTGAAAAGGAACCCCAAGGGCATCTAGTCCAACCCTCTTCTGCCTTGAAGGAAGACACAATCAAAGCCCTCCCAACAGATGCCCATCCAGCCTCTGTTTAAAATCCTCCAGCAATTGAGACTCCATTGGACTCCCAGGTGGTTGATTTTCCATTAGAGTTGAAAAAGAACCCCAAGACCATCTAGTCCAACTTCCCTCGGCCTTGAAGACACAATCCAAGCCCTCCCAACAGATGCCCATCCAGCCTCTGTTTAAAATCCTCCAGCAATGGAGACTCCCAGGCGGTTGATACTCCATTAGAGTTGGAAAGGAACCCCAAGGCCATCTAGACCAACCCCCTTCTACCTTGAAGGAAGACACAATCAAAGCCCTCCCAACAGATGACCACTCAGCTTCTTCATATGTTCAAGCGGGAGCTGCTGTTTCAAGTCCTTCTCCATGTCTCCAGATTGGCAAAGAGGGTCCTGCTAGGAACCCAGCTGGAGTGGGTTCTTACCTGGAGAGATGGTCCAGGTGGAGAGAGCCAGCAGGCAGAGCAGGCCCTGGCTTTGGCAAAGTATGCCCATGGCAGCTGCAGCACCCAGGAGCCCAAGGCAGAGAGAGAGCCAACCAGGAAGGGAAGCTGGCCTCAGTCCTGGACACAAGGCTCCTGCCTCTCCTATATACACTCTCCCCTTGACTCTCATTTTCACTTTCCTTCTGGGTGTCTTTGGGTGAGCAATGGAGGAAATCCCAGGGATGGAGAGGGGCCACCCTTCTGGGGCAGGAAGACAAGGCAAAGTGCCGCCAGGTGTCAAAGTGCTATAACTCTGCAGTGTGAATGGTCTTGCAGAGGGCTATAGACGTAATGCAATTTTACTCTGCTTGAATGGCCATATTTATTTATTTATTTATTATGTCAGGAGTGAACCAAACAGTTGTATTGCGTTAAAACAAACAAAACAAAAAGTTTGCAAACTTGGTATTCTATTAAATGTCCTTTGACCAGTATCTGGCCCCTTGGAGTGCTTCTGGTGTTGCCACAAGAAGGTCCTGCATTGTACATGTGGCAGGGCTCAGGGTGCATTGCAGCAGGTGCTCTGTGGTTTGCTCTTCTCCACACTCGCATGTCGAGGATTCCACTTTGTGGATCCATTTCTGAAGGTTAGCTCTGCATCAGGTGGTGCCAGAGCGCAGTCTGTTCAGCGCCTTCCAAGTCGCCCAGGAGGGAGTCTCTCATTTGATATCAGCCATTGACTGAGGTTCTGGGTCTGAGCCTGCCACTTTTGGACTCTCGCTTGCTGAGGTGTTCCAGCTAGTGTCTCTATAGGTCTTGGAAAACTATTTCTTGATTTAAGTCGTTGACGTGCTGGCTGATACCCAAACAAGGGATGACCTGGAGATGTCACTGCCTTGGTCCTTTCACTATTGGCTGCTACTTCCCGGCGGATGTCAGGTAGTGCAATATCGGCTAAACAGTGTAATTTCTCCAGTGGTGTAGGGCGCAGACACCCCATGAATGGCTATGATTCAGTGCAATGGAAGTGTGTTTTGGGAGATATTGTGGCTTCTCTGTCATAAAGCCTTAATGCCACAGCAAACAGCATGGAGTCCCCTTTGAGGAGATAAAGTGGGGAATAAATATAAATATAAATAATATAAATATAAATATAAATATAAATAATATAAATATAAATATAAATATAAATATAAAAATAATAATAATAATAATAATAATAATAATAATAATAGGGTTGTAGGTTTTTTCGGGTAGAGCCCCCGGTGGCGCAGTGGGTTAAAGCACTGAGCTGCTGAGCTTGTTGATCGAAAGGTCGCAGGTTCGATTCCGGGGAGCGGCGTGAGCTTCCGCTGTCAGCCCTAGCTTTTGCCAACCTAGCAGTTCGAAAACATGCAAATGTGAGTAGATCAATAGGTACCGCTCCGGCGGGAAGGTAACGGCGCTCCATGCAGTCATGACCTTGGAGGTGTCTACGGACAACGCTGGCTCTTCGGCTTAGAAATGGAGATGAGCACCCACCCCCAGAGTCAGACATGAGTGGACTTAATGTCAGGCAGAAAGACTTACCTTCCAAGCTTGAAAAGATAGACATAGAATCATAGAATCAAAGAGTTGGAAGAGACCTCATGGGCCATCCAGTCCAACCCCATTCTGCCAAGAAGCAGGAAAATTGCATTCAAATCACCCCTGACAGATGGCCATTAGTATTACATTTATTATTTTCCAAAGAAGGAGCCTCCACCACACTCCGGGGCAGAGAGTTCCACTGCTGAACGGCTCTCACCGTCAGGAAGTTCTTGTTTTGTGTAGGTTTTTCCGGGCTATATGGCCATGTTCTGGAGGCAATTTTTCTCCTGACGTTTCGCCTGCATCTATGGCAAGCATCCTCAGAGGTAATGAGGTCTGTTGGAACTAGGAAAAGTTGGTTTATATATCTGTGGAATGACCAGGGTGCCGGTGGGTCCGTGGGTGACTGTGGAGTTGTTTATAATGAATTAATGGCTATAAAATAATAGGGACTTCTAGAGGTCATCCAGTCCAACCCCTTTCCGTCATGCAGAAAGACTCCATCCAAGCCATCCAGCTTCTGCTTAAAACCTCCAGAGAAGGAGACTCCATCACCAGACTCTCAAAACATTTGTTTATAATGAATTAATGGCCATAAAATAATAGGGACTTCTAGAGGTCATCCAGTTCAACTTCTTTCCATCATGCAGGAGGACACTATCTAACCCCTCCTGATAGACGGCCAACCAGCTTTAAACACCCAGAGACGGAGAGTCCATCACCAGACTCTCCGGGCAGCCATTTATATTGAATGAATGGGCATAAATAGAGGCCCCAAGGGGTCATCCAGTCCAACCCCTTTCCGTCATGCAGGAAGACCCCATCCCAGCCCTCCTGACAGACAGCCATCCAGCTTCTGCTTAAAACACCCAGAGAAGGAGACTCCATCACCAGACTCTCAAAGCAGTTGTTTATAATGAATTAATGGCCATAAAATAATAGGGACTTCTAGAGGTCATCCAGTCCAACCACTTTCCGTCATGCAGGAAGACACCATCCAACCCTCCTGACAGAATTAATGAATCATAAAATCTTAAACTTTAATAGGGACCCCAAGGGGTCATCCAGTCCAACCCCTTTCCGTCATGCAGGAAGACCCCACCCAAGCCTCTGCTTCAATGCCTCCAGAGACTAAAGACTAGGTCTTGCTCGTGGCACAGAAGCCCCTTCCTCTGAGCGACCCTTCTTTCCAACCCATCTCCCAGCTGTTTGTGGAGTTGGGCTCCTCCCCAGAGTCTGTCAATATTTGAGGTTTAGGAGAAAAGTATTGTTTTTAACATGCAGTGGTTAGAAAAAGTCCCGTGGGAATTTTTTGCGAGGTGAAGCACCCGCCACTGAAATGAAAAGGAAACCCATTATTTATTTATTTTTGCAAAGCCAGGCCTTTCAGAGCTGCATTCTTAGAAGTCAATCAGTTGACATGTTTCTTGGAAGCAGGGAAACTCTCTCAGCTCCAGAGGATTCAGGGAGTTTGTTTCATATTGGAACCATAGGACCCTAGAGTTGGATGAGATCCCAAGGGGCCATCTAGTCCATCCCCTTCTTCAGGCAGGAAGGCACCATTTAAGCCCCCCGACAGATGCTTGCCATAGATGCAGGAGAAACATCAGGAGAGAACATGGCCATATAGCCTGAAAAACCTACAACAACCCAACTGTGGCAGATGTTTTCCTGCACGGCTCTTTCCGAAACCTTTGGCAACATGTTATTAATCCATTTTTAGAAAGTTTACCAGGGAGATCTGTAAGGTTTTATGTTGATTATCTTTTGGCTGACCAACACCCCAAAATTACTGCTAAAGTTGCTAGCTTCTGTGCAGCAGCATTGTTAAAGAAAGGTCTGCAAACACTTAGAAACAAATGTGGTCATCTAATAGTCAACACGGATTTATCAAAAACAAGTCATGCCAGACTAATCTGATCTCTTTTTCGATAGAGTTACAAGCTGGGTAGATGCGGGGAATGCCGTGGATGTAGCGTACCTGGATTTCAGGAAGGCCTTCTTTGACAAGGTCCCCCATGACCTTCTGGCAAGGAAACTAGTCCAAATGTGGGCTAGGCAAAACTACGGTGAGGTGGATCTGTAATTGGTTAAGTGGACGAACACAGAGAGTGCTCACTAATGCTTCCTCTTCATCTTGGAAAGAAGTGACAAGTGGAGTGCCGCAGGTTTCCGTCCTGGGCCCGGTCCTGTTCAACATCTTTATTAATGACTTAGATGAAGGCTAGAAGGCATGATCATCAAGTTTGCAGACAACACCAAATTGGGAGGGATAGCCAATAGTCCAGAGGACAGGAGCAGGATTCAAAACGATCTTGACAGATTAGAGAGATGGGCCAAAACTAACAAAATGAAGTTCAACAGTGACAAATGCAAGATACTCCACTTTGGCAGAAAAAATGAAATGCAAAGATACAGAATGGGGGACGATGCCTGGCTCGACAGCAGGACGTGTGGAAAAGATCTTGGAGTCCTTGTGGACAGGAAGATGAACATGAGCCAACAATGTGATGCAGCAGCTAAAAAAGCCAATGGGACTTTGTCCTGCATCAACAGGAGTCTAGTGCCTAGATCCAAGGAAGCCTCTATTCTGCCTTGGTCAGACCACATTTGGAATACTATGTCCAATTCTGGGCACCAAAATTCAGAGAGATATGACAAGCTGGAATGTGTCCAGAGGAGGGCATCTAAAAGGGTCTGGAGAACAAGCCTTGAGGAGCGGCTTAAGGAGCTGGGCATGTTTAGCCTGAAGAAGAGAAGGCTGAGAGGAGATATGATGAGGGCCATGTATAAATGTGTGAGGGGAAGCCACAGGGAGGAGGAGGGAGCAAGCTTGTTTTCTGCTTCCATGGAGACTAGGATGGAACAATGGCTTCAAACTACAAGAAAGGAGATTCCATCTGAACATGAGGAAGAACTTCCTGACTGTGAGAGCCGTTCAGCAGTGGAACTCTCTGCCCCAGAGTGTGGTGGAGGTGCCTTCTTTGGAAGCTTTTAAACAGAGGCTGGATGGCCATCTGTCAGGGGTGATTTGAATGCAATATTCCTGCTTCTTGGCAGGGGGTTGGACTGGATGGCCCAGGAGGTCTCTTCCAACTCTTTGATTCTATGATTCTATAATTACGAATCGATTCGTTAATGGCGTAATACGCTAAAAAACCTCCAAATGGGACAGGAGGAACTTCTGAAGCTTCCCTCTCCCTCTGTTGTTGACTGTTGGTGTGATATTTATAATTTTTTTTCACTGATTAAACAAACAACAACTATAAAACTTGCCCCAAACATGCGGAAATAATAATGAAACATGGCCATCCAGCCTCTGCTTAAAAGCTTCCAAAGAAGGAGCCTCCACCACACTCCGGGGCAGAGAGTTCCACTGCTGAACGGCTCTCACAGTCAGGAAGTTCTTCCTCATGTTCAGGTGGAATCTCCTCTTTTGTAGTTTGAAGCCATTCTTCCATTGCGTCCTAGTCTCCAGGGAAGCAGAAAACAAGCTTGCTCCCTCCTCCTCCCTGTGGCTTCCTCTCACATATTTATACATGGCCCTCATATCTCCTCTCAGCCTTCTCTTCTTCAGGCTAAACATGCCCAGTTCCCTAAGCCGCTCCTCATAGGGCTTGTTTCGTTATTGTTTCGTATTGTTTTGTAATTTTACAAAATTTCGTAAATATCGAACTTTTTTAAAGAAAAATTTCGGAATTCTTTTCAAAATCGAAACGCAAAACCCCCCAAAAAACGAATCGATTTTAGAAACAAATTTTTCCGTTGTTACCCAGGCCTAATAAATAGTGTAAATAAATAAATAAATAAATAAAGATAGGCTTAAAGAGAAACTTAAAAATGGTGGTATAGACACCGAGAACTAGGAAGCCCTGCCTTCGAGCACTCTAACTGGAAGTCAGCTGTGACCAGCAGTGCTGTGGAATTTGAAGAGGCACGAATGGAGGGTGAAAAGGAGAAGCAGATCAAGAGGAAGAAGGAGCATCAAGCCAACCCTGACCGGGACCGCCTTCCACCTGGAAACCGATGTCCTCACTGTGGAAAAACACGTGGGTCAAGAATAGAGCTCCATAACCACCTATGCATTCACCACCAAGAGCACTTGGAAGGCAATCATACTCGGAGAACAAGGGATCACCTGAGTAAGTAAATTTAGGAACAGCATTTGAAAAGTGAATCTGGCTTCATCTGCACTGCAGGATTAATGCATTTTGACCCCACTTGAATTGCCATGGAATTCTGGGAGATGTACCAGGATTGTGGCGCAGCTGGCTGAGTGTCAGCTGCATTAAGATCACTCTGACCAAAAGGTCATGAGTTGGAAGCCAGCCCGGGTTGGAGTGTGTTTCCAACCAATTGTGTGTAGCCTGTTGTCGACCTTTGCAACCCGAAAGACAGTTGCATCTGTCAAGTAGGAAAATAAGGTACCACCTTAAAGTGTGGGGAGGCTAAATTAACTGATTTATGAGGCCATAAAGAAGACTCCAGCAAAGCATTCCAGCGGGGAAGCATGCGGGGAATGCGGAAGTGCTTCATCAGCATCGCAGATGGACGATGAAAGCGACAGCTCCCCTGGCGACCAGAAAAAGTTAAATAGCCTCTGTGTATGTCTGTATATGTTTGTATGTCAAAAATTGGCATTGAATGTTTGCCATATATGTGTACACTGTAATCCGCCCTGAGTCCCCTGCGGGGTGAGAAGGGCAGAATATAAAAGCTGTAAATAAATAAATAAATAAATAAATAATAATAATAATAATAATAATAATAATAAAAAATAAATAAATGTAGTTTGACGACATCTGTACCCTTCTTGGCCAAACAATGCTGACATCTCACCAAGTACAGCTTTCATGATTACATAGTATTGTGATATCATAGAATCATAGAATCAAAGAGTTGAAAGAGACCTCATGGGCCATCCAGTCCAACCCCATTCTGCCAAGAAGCAGGAATATTGCATTCAAATCACCCCTGACAGATGGCCATCCAGCCTCTGTTTAAAAGCTTCCAAAGAAGGAGCCTCCACCACACTCTGGGGCAGAGAGTTCCACTGCTGAACGGCTCTCACAGTCAGGAAGTTCTTCCTCATGTTCAGATGGAATCTCCTCTCTTGTAGTTTGAAGCCATTGCTCCATTGCGTCCTAGTCTCCAAGGAAGCAGAAAACAAGCTTGCTCCCTCCTCCCTGTGGCTTCCTCTCACATATTTATACATGGCTATCATATCCCCTCTCAGCCTTCTCTTCTTCAGTCTAAACATGCCCAGCTCCTTAAGCCGCTCCTCATAGGGCTTGTTCTCCAGACCTTTTATCATTTTAGTCGCTCTCCTCTGGACATTCCAGCTTGTCAATATCTCTCTTGAATTGTGGTGCCCAGAACTGGACACAATATTCCAGATGTGGTCTAACCAAAGCAGAATAGAGGGGTAGCATGACTTCCCTAGATCTAGACACTATGCTCCTCTTGATGCAGGCCAAAATCCCATTGGCTTTTTTTGCCGCCACATCACATTGTTGGCTCATGTTTAACTTGTTGTCACGAGGACTCCAAGATCTTTTTCACACGTACTGCTCTCGAGCCAGGCATTGTCCCCCATTCTGTATCTTTGCATTTCATTTTTTCTGCCAAAGTGGAGTATCTTGCATTTGTCACTGTTGAACTTCATTTTGTTAGTTTTTGCCAATCATCTCTCTAATCTGTCAAGATCGTTTTGAATCCTGCTCCTGTCCTCTGGAGTATTGGCTCTCCCTCCCAATTTGGTGTCGTCTGCAAACTTGATGATCCTGCCTTCTAGCCCTTCATCTAAGTCATTAATAAAGATGTTGAACAGGACCGGGCCCAGGGGGGAACCCTGCAGCACTCCACTTGTCACTTCTTTCCAAGATGAAGAGGAAGCATTAGTGAGCACTCTCTGTGTTCGTCCACTTAACCAATTACAGATCCACCTCACCGTAGTTTTGCCTAGCCCACATTGGACTGGTTTCCTTGCCAGAAGGTCATGGGGGACCTTGTCAAAGAAGGCCTTCCTGAAATCCAGGTACGCTACATCCACGGCATTCCCCGCATCTACCCAGCTTGTAACTCTATCGAAAAAAGAGATCAGCATGACTTGTTTTTGATATATGGCAGATTTGGTCGTGTCAGGAGTGACTTGAGAAACTCCAACACTTCTGGTGTGAGAGAAGTAGTTGTCTGCAAGGACGTTGCCCAGGGGATGCCCAGATATTCTGATGTTTTATCATCCTTGTGGGAGGCTTCTCTCATGTCCCCACATAAGGAGCTGAAGCTGATAGAGGGAGCTCATCCGTGCTCTTCCCGGATTCGAACCTGCGACCTGTCGGTCTTCAGTCCTGCCGGCACAGGGGTTTAACCAACTGTGCCACCGGGGGCTCCATGACATGGCAGATGAGTTGGCACCAAACTGCATTAAATCAATAGTGTAGCTCAGGCATGGGCCAGCTTTGGCCCTCCAGGTGTTTTGGACTCCAACTCCCACAATTCCTAATAGCCTACTGACTGTTAGGAATTGTGGGAATTGGATTCCAAAATACCTGTAGGGCCAAAGTTGGCCCATGCCTGGTGTAGATGCAGCCAAAGATAGTAGAAGCTGGTGACTGCCAACCAGCCTCTTGTCTTGGAAAAGGATTTGGTGTTTGGGAGAGAAAATGAAGCAACAAGGCACATTTGGAAAAAAAAAAGATATATGTCCTTTTTAATGAATTACACTTGATATAAAACAATGGATAGAGAGACAAAACAGGCAATACAAGAAACAGAGGTTATATGTTAGAGGTCTCCATTAATACAAGATTGCAAACTTCTCCGTAAGTCCCAAAATTCCCTTTAATCCATGTCAGGCATGGGCAAACTTCAGCCCTCCAGGTGTTTTGGACTTCAACTCCCACCATTCCTGGCCTCAGGCCCCTTCCTTTTCCCCCTCAGCCGCTTAAGCGGCTGAGGGGGAAAAGGAAAGGGCCTGAGGCCAGGAATGGTGGGAGTTGAAGTCCAAAATACCTGGAGGGAGGGCTGAAATTTGCCCATGTTAGTCTATGTGTATATGTTGCATATGTGATGCACACCATTATGACAAATGTTGCATATAAACGTTGTAATGTATATAACAATGTTTCTCAACCTGGGGGTCGGGGCCCCTGGGGGGGTCGCAAGGGGGTGTCAGAGGGGTCTCCAGAGACCATCAGAAAATACAGTATTTTCCAATAGTCATGGTGGTTCTATATGGGAAGTTTGGGCCAATTCCATCATTGTTTGAGTCCACAGTGCTCTCTGGATGTAGGTGAACTATAAATCCCAGCAACTACAACTCCCAAATGTCAAGGTCTGTTTTCCCCAAGCTCTACCAGTGTGTACATTTGAGTATATAGAGTATACTGAGTTTGGTCCAGATCCATCATTGTTTGAGTCCACAGTGCTCTCTAGATGTAGGTGAACTATAAATCCCAGCAGCTACAACTCCCAAATGTCAAGGTCTGTTTTCCCCAAGCTCTACCACTGTGCACATTTGAGTATATTGAGTATATTGAGTTTGGTCCAGATCCATCATTGTTTGAGTCCACAGTGCTCTCTGGATGTAGGTGAACTACAACTCCCAAACTCAAGGTCAATGCCCACCAAACCCTTCTGGTATTTTCTGTTGGTCATCGGAGTTCTTTGTGCCAGGTTTGGTTCAATTCCATTATTGGTGGAGTTTAGAATGTAATTTGATTGAGTATTCATACCAAGTTTGGTCCAGATCCATCATTGTTTGAGTCCACAGTGCTCTCTGGATGTAGGTGAACTATAACTCTCAAACTCGAGGTCAATGCCCTCCAAATCCTTCCAGTATTTTTTGTTGGTCATGGGAGTTCTGTGTGCCAAGTTTGGTTCAATTCCATCATTGGTGGAGTTCAGAATGCTCTTTGATTGTAGCTGAACTATAAATCCCTGCAACTACAAGTCCCAAATGACAAAATCCCACAACTCCAACTCCCAAGTGACAAAATCAACCCTTCCCCAACCCCACCAGTATTCAGATTTGGGTGTATCAGGTATTTGTGCCAAATTTGGTCCAGTTAATGAAATTACATCCTGCATATCAGATATTTACATTATGATTCATAATAGTAGCAAATTTATGTAGCAACGAAAATAATTTTATGGTTGGGGGTGACGACAACATGGGGAACTGTATTAAGGGGTCGCAGCATTAGGAAGGTTGAGGAAAAATGGTATATAAAACCCGAAAAAGTCCAATATCCAAAACACTACGCATTCCAGATAAGGGAAGCTCGACCTACATCTCCATTCACGTCAAGTACGAAGCTTCCCTGTCTCTGTCCAAAAAGGGTGCATCTACATCACAGAATTAATTCGGTTTAACTGCTACCGCTCAACGCGGTGCAAAATGGGAGTTGTAGTTTGGCAGAGAAGGCTGCAGAAGCGGTAAAACTATAACTCCCACGACCCCATAGAATTTAAAGTGGGATCAGGTTGCATTAATTCCACAGCATGGATGCAACCAAAAGCAAACATGATTTCAGGTGCTTGCAAACACTTGCAAAAGGGCTTTTGCAACAAGTATAAACTCTTTGCATTTAGGAATGCTGAAGTCGGGCATGCCCCCCCCCCCCCAACAAGGGATGGTAACTTACAGTTCTGCAAAGGACAATGCCATCTTCAAGAAGAAAGCCAATGACGAACTAGCTTTAAGGAAAGGAAAGGGTTTGCAAAGGGCGCTTTCAAAGCCTCTGCTCAAATAAATGCGATCGCAATTTGGCCGTGTGGCTCAGAGGTTGCAACATACCCAGAGCGGTGCCCTTTTCTGTATTTATTTCACATCTTCAGGGATGGTACCTAGCATTTAAAAACATCAGGGGTGCATCTCCACTGTGGAATGGATGCAGTTTGCAGGGCTCAATGCAACAGGATCCTGGGATGTGTAGTTTCACAAGGTCTTGAGCCTTCTCTACCATAGAGGGCTGGGCCTCGCCAAACTACAGATGCCAGGATTCCACAGCATGGAGCCATGGCAGTTAATGTGACTATTATTACTAGAGTAATGAGTGAAATAGGAAGCCAAAATGTCATAATTCACGCTCTCTGCTGAATAATTTTCTTTGGGTCTCTCTTTCTTGCAGGCTCTGCTGTTGGCAGGGATGGTTTGTCCTCCTGGAAGGGAAGAGAAGGGAGATTCATCTCAGATGATGATATGCATAATAATAATAATAATAATAATAATAATAATAATAATAATGCAATTATTATTGCACTCTTGAGCCAGGGTGACGCCTGGCTCGAGAGCAGTACGTGTGGAAAAGATCTTGGAGTCCTCGTGGACAACAAGTTAAACATGAGCCAGGAATGTGATGTGGCGGCAAAAAAAGCCAATGGGATTTTGGCCTGCATCAAGAGGAGCATAGTGTCTAGATCTAAGGAAGTCATGCTCCCCATGCGCTATTCCGCTTTGGTTAGACCACACCTGGAATATTGTGTCCAAGGCTGAGAGGAAGGCTGAGAGGAGACATTATAGCCATGTCTAAATATGTGAGAGGAAGCCACAGGGAGGAGGGAGCAAGCTTGTTTACTGCTTCCATGGAGATTAGGTTAAGGAACAATGGCTTCAAACTACAAGAAAGGAAGTTCCACCTGAACATGAGGAAGAACTTCCTGACTGTGAGAGCCATTCAGCAGTGGAATTCTCTGCCCGGAGTGTGGTGGAGGCTCCTTCTTTGGAAGCTTTTAAACAGAGGCTGGATGGCCATCTGTCAGGGGTGATTTGAATGCAATATTCCTGCTTCTTGGCAGGGTGTTGGACTGGATGGCCCAGGAGGTCTCTTCCAACTCTTTGATTTGATTCTATGATTCTAAGATAACCATGTATAAATATGTGAGAGGAAGCCACAGGGAGGAGGGAGCAAGCTTGTTTTCTGCTTCCATGGAGATTAAGTTAAGGAACAATGGCTTCAAACTACAAGAAAGGAGATTCCATCTGAACATGAGGAAGAACTTCCTGACTGTGAGAGCTGTTCAGCAGTGGAACTCTCTGCCCCAGAGTGTGGTGGAGGCTCCTTCTTTGGAAGCTTTTAAACAGAGGCTGGATGGCCATCTGTCAGGGGTGATTTGAATGCAATATTCCTGCTTCTTGGCAGAATGGGGTTGGACTGGATGGCCCAGGAGGTCTCTTCCAACTCTTTGATTCTAGGATTCTAGGAGATATAAAGTTCCAAGCCTGGGAAATATAGTCAGATGAAGCATCATTTTAGAATCCTGCTAAGTTCTTACTCTTGTCTCATGGAAGCCTTCCTTGGAAAAGTTCATGTTTAAGGATTTCTTCTTTTATGGTTTCACTCTTCACAAGAGACAAAGAGTGAAACCATAAAAGAAGAAATCCTTAAACATGAATCTTATATACTCATGCCTTGGATCAACGTTTTCCTGGTTCTTTGGATTTTATGAGGGAAGTCTAGACTTTGTTTTTGAACTTTGCTGAACCATACCTTGGACTAATTTGTTCCTGCTTATCTTCTTCTCACCTAATTGGATTTACCTATTCCCTTAAAGTGGTTTTTTTTTTACTTTGCTGCTTTTACTTATCTTCAATAAAAAAGGATTATTTTCCTATTCAACGTGTGGTATTTTAAAGTCAGAGGGTTCTTCCTGTCCTGGAGTGCAATAGAAACCTATGAGGTGCTGCCAAACAAGAGATTGGGGAATCAGTCTCAAATGGAATTTGGAGCCTAAATCCCACCAGCCAGTCTCAAGTCACTGTCAGACCCTGGAAGATGATACTCCTCACAGGCTTGTTCTCCAGACCCTGGATCCTTTGGGTCATCTTCTTTCTCAGGACACAGTATTCCAGCTTAGAGTCAACATCTCCCTTCCATTGCGGTGCCTAGAATTGGACACACTGTGATTCCAGGCAAAGCAGTCTGACCAAGGCAGAATGAGGTCTTTCCTCACATCATCGGAAGAGCCCACAAACCCTTGCCGTACCCACTGCGTACCTTTTAGGGTCGCCTTGAATTTCGGGCTTTTCTGGCGTCCAGGACTTTCATGAGACGGCGAGCCGTCTGGGAGTCGGGAGGGTAGCACAGCCCACGGTTCGCCTTGGTGATCAGCCTGAGAGGAGGAACAAGGAGAAATAGGGGAGAATATTAATAGAATATTTGCACAAATATTCATTAAAATAGTCATAAAAAGATGCAGTAATGAGTCACAAAAATATTCACAGAAATAACCATAAAATATTTACAAAAATATGTTTCAGAGATATTCATTGAAATAATCACAAAAAGATGCAGAAATATTCACAGAAATAATAATAAAATATTTGCGATTTTTTTGCAGAAATATTCATTGAAATAATCACAAAATATTGTCAGAAATATTCATTAAAAGAGTCACAAAGAGAGTTATAGTAGCCTATTTGCAGAAATATGCAAATTACTTCAATAATAATAAAAACATATATTCTCAGGGATAATCCAGAATATTCACAAAATATCTCCTCAGTGTACGTTGATTGTGCTTTTCCTACATGGCAGAAATGGGTTGGACTAGATGGTCCAACTCTATTATTCTATTATTATATTTGTGTGTGTGTGTGTCAGGAGCTACTTGAGAAACTGCAAGTCGCTTCTGGTGTGAGAGAATTGGCCATCTGCAAGGACATTGTCCCAGGGGTTGTTGCCTGGATGTTCGACCATCCTTGTGGGCGGCTTCTCTCATGTCCCTGCATGGGAACTGTAGTGACCCTTCTCGGGACCTCTTCCAGATGGTCAATATGCTTCTTGTATTCCTTTGCCCAATGCTGGACGCAGGGTTGACCAAAGCAGAAGAGCATGGGGCTCTGACTTCCCTCGACCTAAACACTAGACCCCTCTTGATGCAGCCTGAATTACATTGGCTATTTGAGCTGCTGCATCACACCACGGGCTCATGTTTCATAGCATCATAGAATCATAGAGTTGGAAGAGCCCTCCTGGGCCATCCAGTCCAACCTCATTCTGCCAAGAAGCAGGAAAATTGACACAGCAGCGTTTGACACAGTTGACCACAATCTTTTGACCCACCGCCTTGCTGTTGCTGGAGTCAGGGGGACATCTTTAAATTGGCTCCCCTCCTTTCTTCACAACCGTGGACGGCAAATGGAGAGGGGAGGCCTGATATCTGAGAGGTCCCCCCTCTCTCTCTTGTGGGGTTCCTCCTCAGGGGGCCATTCTCTCCCCTCTGTTGTTTCACATCTCTATGCGCCCACTTGCTCAGCTGGTTCGAGGTTTTGGGCTGGAGTGTGACCAGTATGCCAGTGACACTCAGCTGGTGCTGAAGATGGAAGGCCAACCGGACTCTGTACCCGATTGTTTCCATCAGTGCCTCAAGGCCGTGACTGGATGGCTGCGTGCCAGCAGGTTGAGGGTGAATCCAGCAAAGACGGAGATCCTATGGCTGGGTCGACCGGGCAGTGGGGACATCCAGCTGCCCACCCTGGATGGCGAGGCGCTACGCCCATCATCGTTGGTCAAGAGTCTGGGAGTCCTTTTGGACCCTCTGCTGATGATGGAGGCCCAGGTCTCCACCCTGAGCAGAACCACCTTCTTTCACCTCCGGCAGGCTAGACGGCTGGCCCCATCACTGTCCAGGGATGACCTAGCTACGGTCATCCAGGCCACGGTCATCTCAAGACTGGACTACTGTAATGCCCTCTACATTGGCCTTCCTCTGTCAGTGATCCGGAAGCTCAAGCTGGTACGAAATGCAGCTGCTCAGCTTCTTGCAGGAATTCCGATTAGATGCCACATCACCCCAATCTTACTACAGCTGCATTGGTTACCAATTGAGCACCGGATCACTTTCAAAGGGATGGTACTCCCCTTGAAGGCCTTGCATGGTCTGGGGCCGATGTACCCGAGGGACCGCCTCACCCCCTCCCAACCCGAGATCCCTCCGTTCTGAGGACCAAGATCTATTGGAAATTCCCAGTGTCAAGATCTCGTGTCTAACAGCAACCAGGCGCAGAGCCTTCACAGCAGTGGCACCCTCACTCTGGAACACTCTGCCACCTGAAGTCCGTGCCTTGCGGGACTTACCAGCTTTCCGCAGGGCATGTAAGACATACCTGTTTCGACAGGCCTTTGATCTTTGATATTGTTGTTTTTAAATTGTTTTTAAATTATATTAAATTGTTTTTAAATTGTGTTAGATTTTAGCCATTCTTGTAAGCCGCTCCGAGCCCCAGGGGAGTGGCGTCATAGAAGTTTGAATCATAAATAAATAAATAATAAAAATTGCATTCAAAGCAACCCCAACAGATGGCCATCCAGCCTCTGTTGAAAAGCCTCCAAAGAAGGAGCCTCCACTACACTCCAGGGCAGAGAGTTCCACTGCTGAACAGCTCTCACAGTCAGAAAGTTCTTCCTAATGTTCAGATGGAATCCCCTTTCCTGTAGTTTGAACACTGCCCTGGAGTGTGGTGGAGATCCTTCTTTGGAGCCTTGGGGTGAATTCTGGTTCCCAGCTTGATGAGTCGCTTTCAGGCTGATATGGGCGGGATAGAAATAATGTAAATACATAAATAAATAAATTTAGGCCAAGGCTTGAGGTCAGGCATAAGTTTGGTTTTGGGCGGTCACAGTTTCTCTGCCAGGTAAGTAAGTGCATTTTGGGATTAGGCATCCAAAGGCAAAGGTATGTTTCCAATCTCTCTCCGTTTCAATGAGGACACAAGGACACACACTTGCACACAATGCGACCTTGGTGAAAATGTACTCACACGATGGCTGGGATGGGGCACCCCATCTGTGGATTCTGGATGGTGTAGGACTTCAAACGCTTCACATTTTGAAATGGGACATCTTTGGTGGCTTCGCAGCAGTCCCCGTAAGTATTCCTGCTTCCTGAAAGAGGGAGGGGAAAAGAGAGTTAAAGTGGCACCAAAGTGGATTAAACCTACAGTGTAGGGAGCATTGAATGAATCCAGTTTGGCAGAATGTGCATTGCCGTGGCTCAAAGGGATGGAGCCCTGGGGGTTGCAATTTGGAGAGGAACAAGCACTTTGGTGCAGAGAAGGCTTGCCAAACTACAATTCCCATTATTCGATAACCTTGACCTCTGGCAGTTCAAGTGGGTTCTAACTACATTCATTAATCTTGCTGGAGAGAATGCCATTGCCAAGGATCATCTTCCAGGATTGCTTGCTTGCTTGCATGCTGCAAGTCGCTTCTGGTCACTTCTGGGGCAAGAGAATCAGCTGTCTACGAAGAACAGAAGCTCTCTGAAGCTCTAGGTGCTCTTACTGCCTATTACAGGGAAAACCAGCTGATCCCTAATCCATCTAAAACACAGACATGTGCTTTTCATCTCAAGAAAAGATGAGCATCCCGAACTCTGAGGATTATTACCTAGGAAGGAATCCCATTGGAGCATTGCAGCGCACCCAAGTACCTGGGAGTCACTTTGGACCATACTCTGACCTACAAGAAGCACTGCCTGAATACCAAGCAAAAAGTGGGTGCTAGAAACAATATCATTCGAAAGCTGACTGGCACAACCTGGGGATCACAACCAGACACAGTGAAGACATCCGCCCTTACGCTATGCTCCTCGGCTGCTGAGTACGCATGCCCAGTGTGGAACACATCTCACCACACTAAAACAGTAGATGTGGCTCTTAATGAGACATGCCGCATTATCACGGGGTGTCTGCGCCCCACACCACTGGAGAAATTACACTGCTTAGCCGGTATTGCACCACCTGACATCCGCCGGGAAGGAGCAGCCAATAGTGAAAGGACCAAGGCAGAGACATCTCCAGCTCATCCCTTGTTTGGGTATCAGCCAGCACGTCAACGACTTAAATCTAGACATAGTTTTCTAAGATCTACAGAGACACTGATTGGTTATTGTAGTAATTGTTTATTAATTGTCTAACGTGTTACGTTGTTAACTGTTTTTATACTGTTGCATTGAATTTTTGCTGTCCTTATTGGTTGTGAACCGCTGTGAGTCGCCTTCGGGCTGAGAACAGCGGTATATAAGTAGAGTAAATAAATAAATAATAGCTGGAACACCTCAGCAAGCGAGAGTCCAAAAGTGGCAGACTCAAACCCAGAACCTCAACCAATGGCTGATACCAGATGAGAGACTCCCCCCTGGGCACACAGAGGACTGGGCGACTTGGAAGGCACTGAACAGACTGCGCTCTGGCACCACGAGATGCAGAGCCAACCTTCAGAAATGGGGCCACAAAGTGGAATCCACGACATACGAGTGTGGAGAAGAGCAAACCACTGACCACCTGCTGCAATGCACCCTGAGCCCTGTCACATGCACAATGGAGGACCTTCTTGCAGCAACACCACTCCAAGTGGCCAGATACTGGTCAAAGGACATTTAATTAACTACCAAACTCGCAAATTTTGTATTTTGTCTGTTTGTTTTGTTCTGTTAGAAATGTAATACAATTGACTGGTTGCTCTGACATGACAAATAAATAAATCTTCTAGGATCTGACAGTGACTTGAGACGGACTATTGGGATTTATTCCCCAATCTCTTGTTTGGCAGCACCTCGTAGGTTCCTTGCAATGGTTTCGTTATTCTGCTCTAAATGGTGTCCAAAATGGTTTGGAGAACTGCACCACCCAGAGGACGCAGTAAAATGGGTACAGTTTCTCTACGAAGTGCTGAATGTCTTTCCAGGTGACGATTCAGCACCACGGAGAGATCCCCGGAAGCAGGCATGAGCCAACTTGGGTCCCCCCTCCAGGTGTTTTGGACTCCAGCTCCCACAATTCCTAACAGTTTACCAGATGTTAGAAATTGTGGGAATTGTACTCCTAAACACCTGGGGGGAGGGAGGGCTGAAGTTGGTCCATGCCTACCCTAAAGTATTGAGAGGAGTCCCAGGAAGCCAAACGTGCAGCCAACTTGCCTTGTAATGCTTCTGCAAGAAGACTGGGACCACTCTCTTAGCTCATGGGAGTTGTTGACTCTATGCTGGAATGCGTCCAGAGGAGGGAGACTAAAATGACCAAGGGTCTGGAGAACAAGCCCTATGAGGAGCGGCTGAAAGAGCTGGGCACTGTATCTCATGCCTCAGTTGAGATTAGCCCCATTGTTTATCCCAACGGAGTCTCCCACTAGACACAGGACTTTATCTATCTACCTCACCCACAGGTTTTACCATATTTACCCTTTGCATTTGGCCCAGCTTGCCCTTGTTTCATCCTTGTACCGTTTTACATTCTGTTTTATTATGTTATTATCACTAGGCTGTTGTAGGTTTTTTTGGGCTATATGGCCATGTTCTAAAGATGGTCCCAGTGGTGATCGGCACACTGGGTACAGTGTCTAAAGACACTGGCCGGCACTTAAAAACAATTGGTGCTGACAAGATTGCCATCTGCCAGCTGCAGAATGCCACCTTACTGGGATCTGCACACATTATTCGCCAATATATCACACAGTCCTAGATACTTGGGAAGTGTCTGACGTGTGATCCAATTCAACAGGCAGCAGAGTGATATTGTTTGCTGTGGACTCATCTTGTTGTGTTTCAAATAGCAATAATGATGATGATGATGATGATGATGATGATGATGATGATAATCTGGCACAAGCCCGTAAAGGTGGTCCCAGTGGTGATCGGCACACTGGGTACAGTGTCTAAAGACATTGGCCTGCACTTAAAAACAATTGATGCTGACAAAATTATGATCTGTCCGCTGCAAATGGCCACCCTCTTCTGAATTACACACATTATTTGCCGATACATCACACAGTCCTAGATACTTGGGAAGGGTCCGATGTGGGATCCAATCCAACAGCCAGTGTACTGGTCTTGTTGTGTGTCAAATAGCAATAATAACAATCTATATAAATAAAAATGTAATGTTTGTTTGTGGAATTAACATAACTCAAAAACCTCTGGACGAATTGACACCAAATTTGGACACAAGACACCTCTCAGGCCAACGAGTGACCATCACTCAGAAAAAAAGCAAACAAAAATACATTAAAACGCATGCGCAAAACCACATATATGCACAAACACACACATATGCACACATACACAAATATATACACACATATATAAGCATATATACACAGACAAAACACATATACACAGAAAGGAGGAAGGAAGGAAGGAGAGAAGGAGGGAGAGAAAGAGGGAAGGAGAAAAGGAAAGAAAGAAAGGTAGAGGGGGGAAGGAAAGAAGGAAAAAAAGTGAAAGAAGGAAAGACAGAGGGAAAGAAGGGGAGAAGGAAGAAAAGAGAGGAAGGGAAGGAAGGAAAGAGACAAGGAAGGATGGAACCAAAGAGCAAAGGAAGCGAGGAAAGAAACAGGTAGAGAAGGAAGAAAGAAGAAGGGAAAGAAAAAGAGGGAAGGAAGGAAGGAAGGAAGGAAAGAAAGAAGGAAGAGAAGTGAACAAGAAGATAATAAAAAAAGTGAAGAAAGAAGTGAAAGAGAGTTGGGAAGCAAAGTAAGGAGTACCCAATGGAGAGAAAAAGAGCAGGACGGAAGGAAGTCCCACTGAAAGTAGCTGGTGGTGAGGTAAGCACTAGGCCTGGGTAACACGGAAAAATTTGTTTCTAAACTCGATTCGTTTTTAGGTTTGTTTTTTTTTGCGTTTCGATATTTAAAAGAATTCCGAAATTTTCCTTTAAAAAAGTTCGATATTTACGAAATTTCGTAAATGGTAAAAAAATTACAAAACAATAACGAAACAATAACGAATCGATTCGTTAATGGCGGCCGCGATCGCGCAATATGCTAAAAAAACTTCTGAAGCTTCCCTCTCCCTCTGTTGTTGACTGTTGGTGTGATATTATAATTTTTTTTCACTAATTAAACAAAAAACAACTATAAAACTTGCCCCAGACATGCGGAAATAATAACGAAACGACCTCAAACCGATAACGAAACGAATACATAACGAATCCGAAGCATTTACGAAACGAATTGAAAAATTCGTTTCGTTTTTAAGTTGCTCCAGAATGGTTCGTTATCGCTTCGTTAACAAAAAAATAATGAATTTTTAACGAATTACGAATTAACGAAACGAAACCGCCCAGCCCTAGAACACATTCAGAGGTAAAGAAGGAAGGAGGGAAGGAAGGAAAGAAGGAAGGAAGGAAGGAAGGAGAGAAGGAAAGAAAAAAGGAGGAAAAGAAGGAAATAAAAAGTGAAAGAAGGAAGGAAAAGAGAGGGAAGGAAGGAAGAAGGAAAAAGAGAAGAGGAGAGGAGGAGGGAGGGAGGGAGGGAGGGAAGGAAGGAAGGAAGGAAGAAGGAAGGAAGGAAGGAAGGAGAGAAGAGGAGGAAGGAGGGAAGGAAGGGAGAAAGGAGGAGGAAGAGGGAAAGAAGGAGGGAAGGAAGAGAAGGAAAGAAAGAAAGATAGAGAAGGAAGGAGAGAGAGAAAAAGTGAAAGAAGGAAGGAAAGAGAGAGGGAAGAAAGGAAAGAAGGAACAAAAGAGAAAGAGGGAGGGAGGGAAGGAAGGAAGGAAGGAGAGAAGGAAGGATGGACTCAAAGAGCAAAGGAAGGGAGGGAAGACACATGTAGAGAAGGAAGAAAGAAGGGAAAGTGGAAGGAAAAGAAAAAGGGGGAAGGAAGGAAAGAGGAGGGAAGGAAGGAGAGAAAGGAGAGAAAGAAAAAAAGAAAGAAGGAAAGAGGGAGAGAAGGTTGGCCACAGCAACGCATGGCGGGTACAGGTAGTAATAATAATAAATATTCCTATTACCACCCTACTTTTTCTGTGCCAAAAGAGACCCAAAGCGGCTTCCTCTTGTTTGGGGAAAAAGCAGCATCCAAATAAGAGGCATAAGTAAATGATTGCAGGAAATAAGCCTTGCAGGAAGACAGACACATTCATTTGCCAAGGAGATGCCATGGATGTGCAGGAGGCCATCCTACCTTGGGCTTGGAAGATGCAGAGGCTGGTGGCCAGGAGGCAGCAGAGGAGCAGCGGATGGAGAGCCATGGTGATTTGAAGCAGGAGGGCAGAAGAGGATCTCTTCTCTGTGAGGAAGTCTCAGAAGTCTGGAGAGAGCGCTCTGGCCTGCCTTTGCAACCCAAGTACATATATATCCCTCTTCTGGGGACTTTCACTTTCTTTTCTGCAGGGGCTTTTGGGCAAATCACTGCCTCTTTCCTGCCAGGACATGTTTGGATCAAGCCTTGGGATGGTGGGAGGTTATGCATGTGTATACAAGGAGGATTCCCAGCACGGTCCTGCTCTTTTTGGAAAACCAAGTCCTGCATCCTGGACCCGGTCCCAAGACAGGCTCGGCTGCATTTGCAGATTGTGAATCAACCTGGAGGTTGGGCTTTGCAACACCCAGCCTTCCCAGCAATTGCTCTTCCTTCTGCAATTTGCAATATCAGAGAGCATGTCATTCTACACAGGCATGGACAAACTTTGGCCCTCCAGGTGTTTTGGACATTTGTGGGAGTGGAAGTCCCAAACAACTGGAGAGCGGAAGTTCCTTAATTGCCATGGTTCAATGATGTTGAATCCTATGAGACACAGTTTGGTGAGACGTTTAGGATGCATCTGCACTACAGAACGAATGCAGTTTGCACCACTCTAGCTAACCCAGTTCCATGTTATGGAATCCTAAAAGTTGCAGCTTGGTGAGATATTGGGTGTTCCTATAGTTCCTATACTATAGGAACACCCAAGACGGCACTCCATGCAGTCATGCCAGCCGCATGACCTTGGAGGTGTCCATGGACAATGCCTGCTCTTCAGCTTAGAAGCTTCAGCTTCCCAGAGTTGGACCCGACTGGACTTAATGCCAGGGGAAAACCTTTACCTTTATTTATAGTTCCTATAGACCACTGTCTCCCAAAGCAGTTGCTCTACTCCCAAATCAAAAATGTTGGAGGACAGGAAAAGAGATTGAAAGATGGGCTCAAAGCCAACCTTAAAAATTGTGGAAGAGACACCGAGAACTGGGAAGCCCTGGCCCTTGAGCGCTCCAGCTGGAGGTCAGCTGTGACCAGCAGTGCTGCAGAATCTGAAGAAGCACGAATGGAGGGTCAAATGGAGAAATATGCCAAGAGGAAGGAGGCACATCAAGCCAACCGCAACCGGGTCCACTTTCTGTCTGGAAGCCAATGCCCTCACTGCGGGAGAAGGTGCAGGTCACGAATAGGGCTCCACAGCCACCTACGGACCCACCGCCAGGACACCGAACTTGGATGACAATCTCATTCAGACAATGAGGGATAGTCTAAGTAAGTAAGTAAGGATGCCGTTTGACAGCCATGGCTCATGTAATCCTAGAATCCTAGAGTTGGAAGAGATCTCATGGGCCATCCAGTCCAACCCCATTCTGCCAGGAAGCAGGACAATCGTGTTCAAAGCACCCCCGACAGATGGCCACCCAGCCTCTGTTTAAAAGCCTCCTTAGGAGGAGTCTCCACTACACTTCGGGGCAGAGAGTTCCACTGCTGAATGGCTTTTACATTCAGGAAGTTCTTCCTAATGTTCAGGTGGAATCTCCTTTCTTGTAGTTTGAAGCCATTGCTCCATTGCGTCCTAGTCTTCAGGGCAGCAGAAAGGAAGCTTGCTCCCTCCTCCCTGTGGCTTCCCCTCACATATTTATCCATGGCCATCATATCTCCTCTCATCCTTCTCTTCTTCAGGCTAAACATGCCCAGCTCCTTAAGCCGCTCCTCATAGGACTTGTTCTCCAGACCCTTGATCATTTTCGTCGCCCTCCTCTGGACACATTCCAGCTTGTCAATATCTCTTTTCAATTGTGGTGCCCAAGAATTGGACACATTCCAGTTTGTCAACATCTCCCTTCAACTGTGGTGCCTAGAACTGGACACAGTATTCCAAATGTGGTCTAACTGCCTTCTTTTGGCCAAGCAGGCAGATACCATTCAAGCCCTTCTGACAGATGGCCATCCAGTTTCTGTTTAAAGCAGGTATAGGCCAACTTGGGCCCTCCCTCCCAGTGTTTTGGACTTCAACTCCTACTTGACACAATAGGGTTGAACTAGCTGTCCTTTGAGGGTCCCTCCTGGCCTAAGGTTCTATGAAAGATTCTCCTGCTGCATGACCTCTTTTGGGAGGTGATAGCTGGGTGGAAGACTGAAGGATTTGTGGGGCCACTTGTGGGGCCAGCAGAGCCCACTAGCTGGGCTTTGACCCACAACCACGTTAATTTGGAAGAAGGGTCCCCAAACCCAGTTGTTTCCCTTTCTTCGGGAATGATGATTGCTTCTTTCCATCTTGGGTTGCAGATTGGTGTGCTTAGATATCTTCTCCCAGCATGTCACAGCCATGAATTCTAGACGTGGAAGGGTCCCTCAGGGGCCACCTAGTCCAACCCTGAGGATCTCCAGCTAAGGGCATCCCAAACAAGTCACCATACAGCCTCTTTTTGAAGATGTCCAGAGGAGATCCCCACATGGTCGAGACGGTCCTCTGAACAGACATTCAGCATCCACCTGAACACTAGGAAGAACTTCCTAACTGTGAGAACTATTCAGCAGTGGAACTCTCTACCCTGAAGTGTGGTGGAGGCTCCTTCTTTGGAGGCTTTTAAATAGAGGCTGGGTGGCCATCTGTCTGGAGTGCTTTGAATGCAATTTTCCTGCTTCTTGGCAGAATGGGTTTGGACCAGGTGACGGCCCATGACGTCTCTTCCAACTCTATGAATCTAGGATTCTGTGAGTTGAACTAGAAGATCTTTGAGGGACTTTTCCAAGTCTAGGATTCAATGTCCCTTCTCCTGTTCCTTTTCTGATTGCAGAAACCCTTAAAGATGTCATGTTTGGAGAATGAGCTGGAAGACCCCATAAGTCCCCCCCAAACAACAACAACTACAACAACTACTACAACAACAATAACAACCCTTTCATTCCCCCTCTATTCAAGGGAAACTCATGGGAATGGAAGGGTATCCTAAACATGTTGTTTGGAGAATGAGATGGAAGACCCCATAAGTCCCCCCAAACAACAACAACAACAACAACTACTACTACTACTACAGCAACCCCTCCATTCCCCCTCCATTCAAGGGAAACTCATGGGAATGGAAGGGTATCCTAAACATGTTGTTTGGAGAATGCGATGGAAGACCCCATAAGTCCCCCCAAACAACAACAACAACAACAACAACTACTACTACTACAACAACCCCTCCATTCCCCCTCCATTCAAGGGAAACTCATGGGAATGGAAGGGTATCCTAAACATGTTGTTTGGAGAATGAGATGGAAGACCCCATAAGTCCCTCCAAACAACAACAACTACAACTACTACAACAACCCCTCCATTCCCCCTCCATTCAAGGGAAACTCATGGGAATGGAAGGGTATCCTAAACATGTTGTTTGGAGAATGAGATGGAAGACCCCATAAGTCCCTCCAAACAACAAGAACAACAACAACCCCTGCCTTCTCAAGGGAAACTAATGGGAATGGAAGGGTATCCTAAACATGTTGTTTGGAGAATGAGATGGAAGACCCCATAAGTCCCCCCAAACAACAACAACAACAACTACTACTACTACTACAACCCCTCCCTGCCTCCTCAAGGGAAACTCATGGGAATGGAAGGGTATCCTAAACATGTTGTTTGGAGAATGAGATGGAAGAGCCCACAAGTCCCCCCAAACAACAACAACTACTACTACTACTACTACTACAGCAACAACAACCCCCCCTGCCTCCTCAAGGGAAACTAATGGGAATGAAAGGGTATCCTAAACATGTTGTTTGGAGAATGAGATGGAAGACTCCATATGTCCCCACAAACAGCAACAACAATAACAACACCCCCCCCTGCCTCCTCAAGGGAAACTCATGGGAATGGAAGGGTATCCTAAACATGTTGTTTGGAGAATGAGATGGAAGAGCCCACAAGTCCCCCCAAACAACAACTACTACTACTACTACTACTACAACCCCTCCCTGCCTCCTCAAGGGAAACTCATGGGAATGGAAGGGTATCCTAAACATGTTGTTTGGAGAATGAGATGGAAGAGCCCACAAGTCCCCCCAAACAACAACAACAACAACTACTACTACTACTACAACCCCTCCCTGCCTCCTCAAGGGAAACTCATGGGAATGGAAGGGTATCCTAAACATGTTGTTTGGAGAATGAGATGGAAGAGCCCACAAGTCCCCCCAAACAACAACAACTACTACTACTACTACTACAACCCCTCCCTGCCTCCTCAAGGGAAACTCATGGGAATGGAAGGGTATCCTAAACATGTTGTTTGGAGAATGAGATGGAAGAGCCCACAAGTCCCCCCAAACAACAACAACAACTACTACTACTACTACTACAACCCCTCCCTGCCTCCTCAAGGGAAACTCATGGGAATGGAAGGGTATCCTAAACATGTTGTTTGGAGAATGAGATGGAAGAGCCCACAAGTCCCCCCAAACAACAACAACAACAACTACTACTACTACTACAACCCCTCCCTGCCTCCTCAAGGGAAACTCATGGGAATGGAAGGGTATCCTAAACATGTTGTTTGGAGAATGAGATGGAAGAGCCCACAAGTCCCCCCAAACAACAACTACTACTACTACTACTACTACAACCCCTCCCTGCCTCCTCAAGGGAAACTCATGGGAATGGAAGGGTATCCTAAACATGTTGTTTGGAGAATGAGATGGAAGAGCCCACAAGTCCCCCCAAACAACAACAACAACTACTACTACTACTACTACAACCCCTCCCTGCCTCCTCAAGGGAAACTAATGGGAATGAAAGGGTATCCTAAACATGTTGTTTGGAGAATGAGATGGAAGACCCCATAAGTCCCCCCAAACAACAACAACAACAACTACTACTACTACTACAACCCCTCCCTGCCTCCTCAAGGGAAACTCATGGGAATGGAAGGGTATCCTAAACATGTTGTTTGGAGAATGAGATGGAAGAGCCCACAAGTCCCCCCAAACAACAACAACAACTACTACTACTACTACTACAACCCCTCCCTGCCTCCTCAAGGGAAACTCATGGGAATGGAAGGGTATCCTAAACATGTTGTTTGGAGAATGAGATGGAAGAGCCCACAAGTCCCCCCAAA